ATTATTAGTCAGGATCAGAAATGCTTCATTGATTCCTGAGGGGAAAGTGTTGAAGTTGCTCCCATTCAAAGACTAAGCAGTAAGAAGAAAAAAAAACACATAAGTAGAAAAGTATGTCCTAAAAATATCAACACAGGCAGAATAAAATATGACAATGTACCTCGTGCTATGAAAAAAATATAAAATGTAGTGAAGAACAACAGAGCTGCAGCATAACTAAAGCACCTTATTTAAAATTCTATTCTACTTTTTAACATTTACTTGATATTCGTCTGTATTTTCTGTATCCTCGATAGAATACCTAAAACAACAGCTCTTTTTTTTTTTAAAACCCGTTCTGAACTTTCACTTAAATTTCACATTTATTAAATTATTTCTCAAACTTCCTTTTTTTTGTTTGTTTGTTGTAACCTCAGTTTATTCCTGAATTTTACGATATATTCGATCATTTCAACCTGTAATGAGATCGCCCGAGGCAACTGTGAAATGAATAAATCCCACAAACAGAATTTTATTTTTTAATTTTATTTTATTATTCATTGTTATTTTGTCAAGTCGCACTTATTCAAAATAAAAGATGAAACTGCTTCATGCAGTGACATCTGCCAAGGAGTAAAAATGATGAGAACGCTGACACTGCTCCTAAAAAATAAATATAAGCTTAGATTAAAGTCTTAAGTTGCTGTTACGAGTATCAGGGGGGAAAAATGGGGCTTCAATTGCTAAAGACAATGAACCATTTCTATTTTGTCATTTGCTTCCATAAATGTCTCCGATCTGCTCTGTGTAAACACTGCAGTTCATCCCAGTGGAGAAATATCACGATTTGAAGTTTAGATTTGTTTTTCTGACGGATCTGAACGTCACAGAAAAATAGTTTAAGGATCACTAGAAATCATAAATGGGTGGAAACTTGACTCTGTGCTAAGCTAAGCTAATCGTCTGCAGCTTGTGGGAGTTTACTATTTAGCGCGCATGCAGGGGAGTTTTATTGATCATTTTATCTGTGTCAGTGTGGGCAACAAAGCAATGAGTTCATTTCCCGAAATTTCAAGCTTTTCCTTTAAATCCTGAGTCACGATTTACAAACTGCCAAAAGCGTTCACCTCGGCGCTGAGCTGTGTGTAATTAGAGCAGGTGTTTCTTTGAACATACAGTGAAGCGCCGAGACGAAAGGATCCCGCTGCGATCGTGTGAATGTACGCGTTTGTCTCATATTACGTCATTTTACTTTTTCCCGCCACGGAGCAGTTTTTTTTTTTTACAGTCAAACTGATTTTCCTCCCTGAGTGCGGATCAACTTCTCACAATGCTGATGAGTTGTGTTCCGCTAAGTGTTTCCGACAGGTGTCATATCGTATTTGTGCAGCTTGTAGAGGCATTATGAAGCGCCGTTTCGACCGAATCAGACGTCGGCGCGGATCTTTCTCGCGCACGTGGACGGATCTCCTGTCGCG